GTTGTTAGGTAGAAATAGACGAGGTGTGGAAGTCTCTGTTCTCATTGCCTTTATGCAGGATGGCAGCGTAAAGTCTAGGGAATTTCTTTACGTCACTTGTTGATAACACGCTGTACTTAGATGAAAATAGGCATCTGAACGAAATGGTTTTTACTCATTAACAATTAGTCCAAATACGTCATATAAATGATTCAACAGACTTCATTTCGTAGACTGATTGAGGACCAACGATAGAAAACAAATGCTTAAATGCAAAAAGCTCAGAAGTCTGAAAAAAGGCAAAAGTGGGGTGAAAGACTGAAAAGGCTAAACATTAGGGTTCATCTGTTAAGCCAATTAGTGAATTCTGTCACCTGATTTAGAATAATTTTTATTACGGGTATTCTTCATTGGTGTATAGGAAGCTTTTTAGGGAATATATAACGATTACGGACTTTATGGCTGACCCTAGCTCAAATTCCGAAAGTGGATCTTTTGCTTTGGGAAGAATACAGGTTCAATTATTGTACTGAGCGTAATGGACGAACACATTATAGTCAATAGGCCGTTGAAATTACTACTCTAAATCGTTGCTACTTATGGTGTACTAACCTTTTTACGTCGATACAAATGCAACCGGCTCGTAAGTGCAACCGCTTGGAAAGATACAAAATTTAATTTTATTGTTCTCCAAATTAAACTAGCGCTTATATACTATATATTATTTTCTTAAATCTTTTGTCTCGGTTTTTAAATTTTGAATTCTGCGGTTTCTATTACGATCTAATTCAAACGCTCGTCGAGCCCTAGGATATGAACAGAAAAATAAAGATCCAGCTATTTTTTCCTACCTTTTATATTTAGTGGCACCTCGAGGGTCCGACAGAAAGCATTCAAAAGGTATTTTGATATATAGGCTGTACGAGCTCACGTGCACACTATTCCACCACAAACAGATTGTGGCCTCAGTGAAATTTCTAATGCACTTCCTCGGGTTGACAATAATCTGGAAGAATTCTTGTCACGCGCAATGCTAAAAACCACGGGGTGAAAAATGAGATTCGTAACTCGTCTTTTTTACATATAACAACTCGTCAACACAACAGCGCGTCTTACTGCAACCTTGAGAAAAGTTTTATAAACAATTCATGTACTGCATGGGCTACCCCAAACTTGCACGCATGCAAGTGGTTCTGCTAAAATAGTATTGAATTTCTGATGTAATCAAGGGAGAGCGCTCATAATATCTGGTGTTAAAGGTGGCAATACAAAATGCCTTTATACTACTTAAACGTTATCGAAATTAACACAAATAAGTTCAACTTCACTTTGTAAACGGCTCCATTTACGGTATGGTTTACTTGAATTGCCCTCTGATTATTACGAGGCATAGGAAACGAAGACTTTGACGTATTTACTTCTGTGTGCATAGATATGCACGTGTTTCGTCTGTAAAAATTTACCCTGTAAAAAATCCTTTTAAATTATTGTCAAACCTAATAGTGTGCCACAAAGGCCTTATTGTGGTCAGGAAAAATTGTGGGACACCATTGTTACTACGGTGAGGAGTACACCGATTCCTGCATTGTCATCACCTGTTATGATTTCCTGTTAGTACTTTTTAATATACAAAATGTACAAGTTGGTGAAGGAGTCTTTGCCCTAATGCCCACTTTTTGTGCGACTCTATGAGGCCTGTTAATAATTAATTTCAATTTCATTATTCCTAGCGATGAACATGTCTTTAATTTGTTTTGCATTTCGTGTCTCCACAATGTGTCCATATCAACTCATCTGTAAAATTCTATGATAAGCAGACTCTGCCGCAAAATGTAATAAGTTCACGCTCTTACGGAATGAGTCCCTTGAGAATTGCCCGGTATAGACAACTCTGAAGATAGGTTAAAATAGTACGAGAAGGAACGCGCGCTCCCCTATCCTACACTGTAAATTATGAAACTCACATTTGAAATCAATGTCTTATTGAAACGTACACTTCGTGGATTAACTGTAGACTTGACCGCTTGTAGGATGTAACGGGTTCCACCTTCTAATGTAACGAGAACATTGGTGGGTATCTCATTTCTGCATAATTTGAATGCACGAGTCAGAACAGCAAGCTATTCGGCGGCTATAATGGTCAGCAGCCCACATAAGCTCCATAATGGATTGCAACACTAGCAAGAACCGCTCTCGAAGATCTCAGTGGTAATCTGACGGGGCCTATCCAGGAGAACATAACGCCGGAATACTGACACATAGATGGTTTTTCTATTAGCTGGAGATCCACAAAACTTTATGAAATAACTAAACCTTAGAACGAGCTCAGGAATTGCAAGACGATTTGATTACTAATAAATTCGTTATCTATCTACACACTTATATATAGTGATGGCATTGCTGTTAATATAAAACGGATACAAAATTACTGAGGATCCTGAATGAAGAGCACTTGAACACTACAATTTGTAAAAAATTGTGGTGCATGTTACAATGATGTTTTCTATTTGCCGTTTTAGAACCGTAACACTTCCGTTCCTTTGATCCAATCTCCCCATTGATACCCGTCGTTTCTATCCCTCGCTTATGTATATGCTTAGTTATATATTTCCTGCTATTCATATTAGGGAAAACTCAAATTTCTGGTTTCTAGCCCTTGACCTATTTTTAGTCCCTTTCTATGCGTCTCATAAGCTCTCATCTTTTCCTCCTGCTTCTGCAGTTATCAATTTCCTTTTCTGCTTTTTACTTGCGCGAAATTCCGGCCGCGCACAGCCTAAAATTTTTCTTTTGTCCTAAGTAATCCGCCTGTATTCTAGCCGATGGCCACAGTACCATTGTGATCGGTTATGTCCGATAGCGTTCTCCTCGATCATGCTATCACGTAGTCCTCATCTATCAAGCCAATACCCTTTGCTTCTGGCGTGGCTGCTGCTTTTGAGGGAGCTGCCCTTTCCCTCGTTGTGTCGTTGAGAGAACGAGGAGAAGGGGGAGAAGGACAAGTGGGCGAACGAGCAAGGCGGACTCTGCCCTCTCGCCGGTGGGGGCGCGACATCCCGGCGCGGCGGGACAAGCGCACGAGTCTCCATGGCGCCAGACGGTGACAGTAACAAACAAAGCATTCACAAAGGCCACCGTCACGATCAGCAGTGTATCACAGGGACTAACTGCTAAGCGTCGTGAACCGAACGCCAATACAAACACCATCACAGGTCCATACGAACGCTACTATTAGAATAATTCAATGTTCTTCTGCCTGAAGAAATTGATCCGACCGTACTGTTCCTTTAAAACAATGCCGACATCATCACTCATCGCGGCGGAAGCGATAGCAGTAAAGCAAGAACCTTTTATCTATGAGTTGTATGCGTGAGTGAGTGGAATCGTATAATAAGTGGCTGTTGTTTCGCTTGTGCAGCTTAGCTGTCCGCCTTGCCATTCTTCTTGCGGCTTAATACAATAACATTACGGATAGCGGTTCGCGCCATTGCTGCTGTCCGTAGCGCTAAGTAATGTTCGCAACGGTGGCGGCCACGGCAGGGTAGAGAAACCTGTGTAAAGGAACTGCAACGGAATGTCTGCATATTGCCGTCAGGTTGCAGCTACAGTGGACTAACTTCTTACGAAGTTCTACGACGGGTTTTACACTTCTAGTCGGTTGCGGGCCGGTAGGCAGACGCTTCTACTACGTACTCGAATAGATTAAATACATGTTTTCGGCGTTACGTTCAGTGCTACTGCCACTACCATAGCCACAATTACCGCTACTGCTGCTGTTACAACTATCGGTGCTGACGTTTGTGCTGCCTGGCGCATGTGTAGCTGCCCCGTTGCTGTGGCCCATCTAAAAAGGAGCGAACGGAAGCAGCACGAACAATAACGCAAACGCTGAGGCTAGCGAATAGCCCAACACGAAGCTATACAGCAGCAGCAGTAGTCTCTTCGAGGGTCGTTTTGTAGCAGGGGACTTTTTTCAACATTTAAGCAGTGTGGTCACTTTTCCAAGTTTTTTCGATTTGTCGATCCGGATGTCCTGAACGAAATACTTTTTTCATGCCCCTGTGGCTTAAATGGCCCGCTTCGGGATATTAAGAAGCACTTATGGAACACCGCCAAGGACCACCCCGTGACCAACGTGAATGCTCAATTTGGCAAAGCATACGATTTGCTATCCAATGAAGTGGCTAAGCTAAAAATTGACTTGTCTCGAGTAATGGGTGTCCCAACTAAAAAATATTTTTGATTGACATAAAACAGTTGATTCAGGACCATGCATCGTCCACGAAAGGTATCGCCAGCAGTGAGCCCATACCATGGGAAGTAAGTGGCTACACTTGCGAATTCTTTTGCCAGATAAAAGCTGCAGGATCTGATCGCTATATCGGGGTATTCTTCAGAACATCAGAAAAACAGAAGTCCGCACGTCTCGAGCACCCTGGCCTATGAAGCTGTATTTTTAACGATGTATTTTTAACCTCTATGATATAACCGGAAAGCCGATAAAGACAGGTATGATTGATACGTTCAAGACTGGTCAACGGATTGATGCCGATTTAATGGTTCCGTCTACGAAAAAAATTTCCGGACGAGGTTTGGTAAAATTTTTCAAGGTTCTCACCTTACTTGACAAAATGGACGAGATATTAGTTGCGGGACGAGCGTGCTTTTCCGCAGAGCTCAAAAGAGTTATAAGAGGATTTCAGTATTCAAGTCAGTAATACGCCTCTGACAGATGGTCGACAATAAATTTGTTCTCAGTTTGCTACTATTGCATTTATTAGTTGTCATAGTTGAATATCATTCAAGATTAGGATTGAACTATATATTGTTAATACCGCAACCGAAGTAAAACACTAAAACAATGTTTTAAAATGAAAAAATGACAACAAAAACCCTAAACTGTATGAACGATCGAATTGCAGAATGCGATTGATAACGGTGATTTTTTTAGTGTTGCTTTGAAAAATTTAAACATCGCACGATAAACGAAGATAGGGATCTTCACTGTGTGAGGCTACTCCGTCAGATTCAGTGGGGTGTGATCAACTTTGCAAGTAATGCTCTTCTCTTGTTACGAAACAATGGTATTCTTATGATTTTTTAAGATGTCAACATTTGGGATAGGCCCAGTTCGGTCCCATGCACTATTGCGACAGGGAAAAAAACCATTCGGTTCGCATTGCAAAGCTATTAGATGCATAGATCAATAAGGCATTTATTTGCACCTTTCAAATCCATACCGTGGTGACAACTAACTTCAGCTTCCTGTATGCTGTAAGGTGAACTTGTCACAAAGCAAAAAGCAACTTAACTTTCCGGAACTTTCGAGCTTCTTCACGGGCGCATGGTGTATGGCCTATGTCTCAGGTATGAAATCGTAAACGACAATAGGTCTTCAGACTGCGCTCAACAGTTTCTCAGCGACATGGTGATCTTCATCGTGATTTTCTTGCGTGGGGCACATTACGAATTCCCGTAACCATTGAGCCTACTACAGTTAACAAGAGTTTATTCGCTTTGGCCTAACAACGGTTTTTGGAACTGTTTACCCAGCAAGTGTATACTTGTGAAGGATGTTTCTTTTTAAATAACGTAAATGCACGATCGTCGTTAGATTGAAAGTATTGTTGTTGGAGATGCACGCCAGTGCCGCGATGTTTTTGTACGTTAATGTAGTGAAGCTTCTTTACTGTGGTGGATATTCTAAATCATTTCCTATATATTTTGAAACGATAACAGAACAATGATCATTTCTAATAATTTGTTAACAAATTTGTAGGAATAGAAGCGTTAGAGTCAAAACAATTCATACGTTCAAGATATATTCACAAAGGCTTTCGAGAGATGCGTGCCGCCGTGTGTTGTCTGCATTCATGATTAAACACTGTATGAAAGCCTGGCAAAACACAGGGTTTTTCTCTCCCTTTGTGTGTATTGCTTTTAACAAAAATCACCTACTGTGATTACTTCCGAGTTACCATTGGTTACTTATACCTTATACTTATACACGTACCCTTGTTAATTTATTTGAAACTACATATTACGTGTTGGGCTCTTCTTAACCACACTTATAAAAACCTGGCCATCCACAAACCGCAAAGGCTGGCCAACATCTGTTTTGAAATTTTTGTTTTGAAAAGTCATAAAATAAACCTTTCTTGTTAGTCAACTTGTTAGCGAGTCAAATAAGATACTATTTCAGCTTGGGAATGATTGGCACAATTAACAGTTAACTTGTTGTCATTATTATAATTATGTGGACATATTGTCGCCATCGGTGTCAACAAACATGACACTCCTGCCTGATCGTAGGTTCGTTTGTTCCAGTTGCAGGCCAGCAAGCACCTGCCTGGCGCCGCTATGCCTGCCTCAACCGAAAAAAGCCACCCAAAAGTGGGCAGCGTGGCCGCGCAACCAGCGGCTTAATTGTCCAGTCTTATATCTGACACCATGCGTGGGATGTGCTGTCGTTCAACAGGAAGAACACAGTGTCGGCCGCCGACTAACACCATGCGATGCATGTAATGTTTTGTCCACGTGTCTATATATTGCTGCCTGCGGACACGCCTATTGCGTGGGATGTGCTGTCGTTCAACAGGAAGAACACGGTCAACTCCGTGTTATGTGCAACAAGTGCAAACGGAGAGTGATTGCAACCTCATTGAGATGAAGGACCAATTGGTCGTGCGCGATCTACCTTTTGCATTGTGCCCCGGTCGGGTCCTTGTGATGTCTGTAACATGTTTTCTCCACGAGTGAATCTCTGCGCATGCGGGCATGCCTTCTGTACTGGATGCGCAATTGTTCACAAAGAGGAAGAAGGTGCAGGGTTGAAGGCGTTCTGTCTCGAATGCAAAAAAAAGTCACTACTGATCTATCGAGATAAAGCCAAGTTTGCTTCGACAGATGCGTTTCGTGTGTTCCCGCGGAAGGGAGGGGACGCTCGAGCAAATAAAGGAGCATCTGTGGGAGTCTGCAGAGTCTCACAATGTGACTGACGTAGCCTCAAAAGGATCAATAGATGGTCCGTTTGGAGCGGAGAGCTTACTTCACAGTTTACGCGATGAGGTGCTAAGTCTGAAATTGCAACTACGCACTCTGGTTGGCGTAGCAACCAAGAAATACTTCTGGGTCGATTTGCAGAAGATCATAGACGAACACGAGAAGTAGAGACAGAAGACCATCACGAGTAACGTTGAGCCCTGGGAGGTGTGCGGATACGCCTGCGGATTCTTCTGTCAAATCAGCGAACATGACAATGAGTGTTATGTCGACGTGTCCGTCAGGACCATGTCTAATAACACTTCGCTCTCACCGTGGCCGATGAAGAAGAGGTGCATTTTTGCACTATATGATATCAGCGGCCGCGAAGTGAAAACTCATCTGTCACTCTTCTTCCAGAACGGCAACCCGATGAACTCATGCTTTATTGCGCCCGGCGTATGAAGTGTTGCTGGTTTCGGTCCGACTAAGTTTGTTCGAGTGGCCGATATTCGCGACAGGTCGGATGAATTACTCTTTGAAGGCAGACTTCCAAGAACCGTAAGAATATTGCTACATGGAAACTAAAACGATTATCGGTGTGTTTTGGTGTATCAGGTGCAGGCAAATGATAATCAAATAAAATTTGCGTTTCGCCAACATCGTTGAAAATTTGAGAATATTATCAAGTAATGTGAATCTGTGTGATTATTAAGAAATCAAATTGCAACAAATTTAATTCAAATGTTTGGATTTAAGTCAGCAAAAAATCAAGTCAAATAATAGAATAGCTATAACTTTTGCTTGAGATTAACGAAGTTGCGGGTTTGTTTTGTAACTAGTTTCTGCTCCTAAGAATAATCATTTAATTTAAAAAGTAACAATGGCTTTTTTTGTTATGCTTAATGATACAAAGAAACACCTAACATAAGGCTTTATATAAAATTTCGATTTTTCTAATTGCATTGTTATCTTTTTATTTTTTTCCATCTGAAGATGATTTCCCATTTCCGTGATAGCCTCCAAGCAATTTAATTATACTGTTCTCTTTTTAGAGACGATTCCTAGACTACCTTCATAATACAATCCCGACCATCACTATAGTAAACTCTAAATGTGCCTTCCCTCGACAGGAGCACGAGGTTGATTTGTGGTAGATGCAAGTGTCATTTTACTTCGTAATTTCTCTAGTGAAGCCTTGCGTGACATGTAGTCCTAACGTTTCTTAAGCGTTCGCTAAATAATGGTCATTCTCTTCAGCATGTTTTTCGAATACTACTAGGGAATTAGTACTGTTGCCGTTACGCTCTACGGACGTCGTCTATTCTCAGGCGATTTATCTGTTTCGTCCCGCTAGAAATTTCCAAGAAGTATAAATATAGACCACATCGTGAACTATTTCAGATGTTTGTGCGAGGCTTACCAGATTCTCTTACACCTGGTCGGATAGAGTTGACACCACTAGGGAGTTTGGGACGCTATGTAAAGCTGTGTAACTGCTGCAAAATGTTTTCACCAAGCGCCTACCTGTTAGAGTGCAAGCACGTTATATGTACTGGATGTGCAATTGCCGATCCTAATGCAGAGAAGGATAAAGAATCAAAAAAATCGACCCAAGTCTTCTGTATTAGGTGCAAGCAGCGAATTAGCGCCGATTTCTTTGAGGTCGATCCGGATGTCCTGAACGAAATGCTTTTTTCATGCCCCTGTGGCTTAAATGGCCCGCTTCGGGATATCAAGAAGCACTTATGGAACACCGCCAAGGACCACCCCGTGACCAACGTGAATGCTCAATTTGGTAAAGCATACGATTTGCTGTCAAATGAAGTGGCCAAGCTAAAAATTGACTTGTCTCGAGTAATGGGTGTCCCAACTAAAAAATATTTTTGGATTGACATAAAACAGTTGATTCAGGACCATGCATCGTCCACGAAAGGTATCGCCAGCAGTGAGCCCATACCATGGGAAGTAAGTGGCTACACTTGCGAATTCTTTTGCCAGATAAAAGCTGCAGGATCTGATCGCTATATCGGGGTATTCTTCAGAACATCTCGAGTCCGCACGTCTCGAGCACCCTGGCCTATGAAGAAGCTATGTATTTTTAACCTCTATGATATAACCGGAAAACCGATAAAGACAGGTATGATTGATACGTTCAAGACTGGTCAACGGATTGATGCCGATTTAATGGCTCCGTCTACGAAAAAAATTTCCGGACGAGGTTTGGTAAAATTTTTCAAGGTTCTCACCTTACTTGACAAAATGGACGAGATATTAGTTGCGGGACGAGCGTGCTTTTCCGCAGAGCTCAAAGAGTTATAAGAGGATTTCAGTATTCAAGTCAGTAATACGCCTCTGACAGATAGTCGACAATAAATTTGTTCTCAGTTTGCTACTGTTGCATTTATTAGTTGTCATAGTTGAATATCATTCAAGATTAGGATTGAACTATATATTGTTAATACCGCAACCGAAGTAAAACACTAAAAAAAATGTAAAAAATGACAACAAAAATTGTACTATATATTAAATTATGACATAATACCCTAAACTGTATGAACGATCGAATTGCAGAATGCAATTAATAACGGTGATTTTGGTGTTGTATCATATGGTAACAAGCTTCATAAGTGTCCCTGTGTTGTGCCAGCGCATTTAGAGTAGTAGTAACTCAATTATATTTGTAAACGGAAGCAATGATCACTTTATCAACCAGAAAACAGAAAAATGCTTGTTTATGTGTGAAACGGTTTAATGCAAAAAAAGCAGAGGTCCCACTCGGATAATATAGAAAAACCGAATTCGTTATATAAAGAATGCACAGTAGCGTCAATATGTTGTTCTTTTACTAGCGGACTACTCTTTGAGGCTGAAGTTCTGTATTTGAGACGGCAGAATGGATCGAAATAGATTTTAGGAAACTCAGTGAAGAGTTTCTTCTGGAATCTGGAAGAGAACTTCTAGAACTTGGGCGTATTATTCGAACGGTATTTAAGCAAGTGTTAGAAAAAGAACTGAATTGCTTTAATATGAGTTCTGCTATGGTGATATTAGCGTTGCATAATTAGCAGTTAATGTACACCTGCGGTACACATTTTATACCAATATAATCAATCACCTTGTTCGCAACATCTCAGTACAATGCTGTTTCTAAAAATATCAGCACTCCTCAAGTTCATTGTGAGTCCAACGATTCTATTCATCAATAATCTCACAGAAACAACATCTCTATGAAACATTTTATAGAAAAGTTTGCAGTATTAAAAAATCTTACAAAAAACTAAGGCAGAGCTTTAGCTGTTCTCGAATAAAATCATTGCACATGTGACGACTAGGTTTTATTTTCAGAATCGCCATCAAGTGTGGCTTCGGATGACTAGCGCCTTTGACTAACAGCAATGGCAAGCTAGAAGGAACCGGCCATGTACGCACCGAACCACTATAACAGCAATATAGCTATTATCAAATGTTTATTATTATTATTTAAAATACTGTTTATAGAAATCACGTTGAAATTGGGAACTGTTTACGTCCATATATATAGTCTTTTAGTTCGGGCCACCTTTACCGCCTTTATAGCCTGCTTACTTGGAGCGCGACTTCGCAAGCACTTACTGTATCGGTGAAAAGATCACGTGGAATAAGCTGCTAATATCTATAATAGGTATTATTATATAATTGTTATAAAATAGCAAAGTCTGCTTCGTCTAAATTGAGCTCGTATTCTCGAATATGCGGTCAGCTTAAGCTCTTACAGATATTCACAATCGTGGCAGTGCACCTAATACGAGCGTTCCTTCCTGCTTAATGTGTGCTTAATATTCGAAATAATCATAATTCCATTGATATGCAAGGTGTATCCGTGTGTCTGTCTGTGAACCTTAATGAACCCGTACGAGCCACTAACGAGCGATTAACTAAATATTGTGAATTGAATCCAAAATGTTCAGGAAATTACCTGCGTTTAACATAGGTCAAAATTACGTTGAAATTGAGGTGTTGTACTGTAAAGATGCACTGAGAGAGTTGTAGCATTTAAAAATGCCGCCACTAACGTCCGGTCTTTATTTCACCTCCTCTCCTCTGCGATTCGGCTGCAACTGATTCAAATGAAATTAGGCGAGAGGAACGTTTCATTTCGCAAAAGTTTGGGATTTCTGTTTTCTAGCATAGGTTCCCCAATCGCAAACTTTATCAATACATCTGTTCAGCAATAAAAGCATTCGATAGGGATTAGACTGATTTTCAAATGATTTGTTTTCTATTATGTCGATAACATGTCTGTATTCTAAAATTAACTTCTAATTTCACAACAATAACGGACATTACTTGTTGCGAGGCTGTTAAGCGAGAAGTGCGCTGATGCGTAACACTTATGGTCTGCAGCTTTCACTTTTAAAAATTACTGTGACATCTAT